AATATTTCATCTATTTATATTTTTCATTTTCTAAAAAACATGCGGTTATGATGATATCTAAAATTTTAGTTTATATAAGTTAATTTTAATAAATTAAATAATAAATATTAATTATTTTATCAATTATTAATTATTAAAATTATATGCACATATGCATACGCCGCTCTGCGCCCTTTTCTTCGCTCTCTGCCCTTTTCTTCGCTCTCTGCCCTTTTCTTCTTTCCTCTCGTTCTTCTCCAAGCTCCGACTGCCAGTCTCAAATAGAACGGAATCCAACAGATATTGGAGAGATTTTCGGGGGAAGGATTAGGAAACTTATGTTTATGGAGTTTACTAGCTTGACCCATCCCGCTTTGCACGGCGTAAGGTTGTATATATTATTATTATTAAAGAAATTTCAATTTATATGATTTTAAACCATACATTTTAAGATTTAAAGTTTTTATTTTAGATCATATATTTTTGTATTAAATAACTTATATGATATATTTAAATAGTAAATTTATTTCAATAAGTTTATATGGTATGTCCTATTAAGTTTAGCTAATTATTAGTTTAACATCTTACTTACAATATTTCATGAATTTTACATAATTTTTATTATTTATTAAAGCAAACTCGAATGTAAAAAAAATTTGTAATTAAGTGAAAATTCTTTAAAAATTAAGGGACCATATGGCAAGAAGGTCGGTTGTAATCATATACCTGAATGAATGAATTTGAAGTTTAAATACCAAAGTGTTCATAAACCCCAACATGGGTTGGGTGCCAACATCACCTTTGTCGGTATCAACACTATATGTTAAGAATTCCACTGGCTCATGAAATTTGCTATAAAAGTGTCGACACTTCTGCCACATTGTCAGGTTGGCTCTTTTTTTTTTTGACATGTCAACAATTTAGTTGGTGTCGGAGACATGTAATAAATTCATCTACCGACTCAACACCGACGTATAATTAATTTTTAAATAGTAAAATTGAGACGGTAGTATGTTTGATTAGAAATTGATGGAAGATAATAATTTTGGTTAATTAAAATAAAGTGGTCTCTTTTATGAAAATAAATAAAGTTTGAGTAAAATCTTCATAATTATCTTAAGAAGTCAAGAAAATCTCTTCCCATTTGGGGTTGGGATTTTTAATCGAAATTTGGTTTAAATTCTTAAATTTATGAGTTAAGTTGTTGTATTCAGCCAAATTCTAAATGTTCAAAATCATAATTTGATTGGAAAAATCCAATCTTACTTTTTTTTTTCTTCATTTATTCCTTGTTTAGGTTATTGGTGTTGTTAAGGAGTTTACAAAGGTAAGTTAATGGGATTGAAATTTTTACTTTTTACTTACAAATCACAAATCACAAGTTATATATTATTTTACAGGAGAAGTATAATAGGCTGTAGAATCAATTCTTTCATGAAAATGAAAATTTTGTTTTATTAGGATAAATTTAGGCCATCGAAAAAGTTGAAGAAAAAAATATTATTATATTTTCTTTAGTTTATATATTATTGTGTAGATTTTTTTCATGAACTTATTTTTAATTTTATTATTTATTTAAGAGGTGAAGATATTTGGTTAATTTTTTTTTTTATAAATAATAATTTTTTTTTTAAGTTTCGCAATTATTGTCTTGAAAGTCTTAATACCACAAGCCAATTTTATGATGAGTTCCTGTAATGCCAATCCCACCACTTCACGCCCTCACCCCACATACCTAAATTCTTAATGCCACATCACCATCTCACCTCTACACAACCAAAATGACAGAAAAAAACCATCTTCACCGACAATGCTAGCACCACCAGTCCAATCACAGACTCTCCCTGTCACCATTACGGCATTACCACCTACTTAAATCACGATCAATCCCACCTCACCTCATCGCAGGCTTAACCACTCGACCATCATCAACCCCACCCATTAATGCATGTTACCAGTTTCCACCGATACTGGAATCTAGCAATAATACTGAAATATTATTTTTTTTTTTTTTGGATTTTTTTTTAACTAGAGATAATTACAAGAAATAGGCTTAGAATTAGAAGGGAATAAAAATTCAGATGCCCAGTCCAAAGTACTCAAGCTTGGGCTGGTGGACTAAGTTTTTTCGTTTTTTCGAGCAGCCACAATGTTAAGTTTATTCCGTTTTGATTATGGCAAAGCTACATCGTTTTTATTACAATTAAAATGGTATGGAAAAAGCTACATGTACCATTGGGCCACAAAAGGGCTGTCTGAGTTTTATCCATCATCATCATCATAACCGACGGTCGACACACGCGTCGTCCGAACAAGAAATCAAAGTAAGGGTGTATTTAGGATTGCTGTAAAATGATGTATTTG